TCCCTGCCTGTCCCTGCCTGTCCCTGCCTGTCCCTTGCCTGCTCCCAGTCCGCAGGGGTAGCAGCTCGCCATGCAGCCCTGGAATTCTCCGCCTCAGACCAGAGCTTCATCCTTCAGGATTTCAACTCCCCCCAGGGCACCTTTGTCAACAGCTGCCAGGTGCAAAACGCGGCCGTCAGGGTGAGGCCGGGGGATGTGCTGAGCTTCGGCACCGCGGGAGTGTCCTTGGAGCTGGTGCTGGATGGGGATGCCCAGGGAAAGGTGGGTGGGGATGGCCAGGTAAGGATGGGGATGCCCAGGGAAAGGTGGGTGGGGATGGCCAGGTAAGGTGCCCAGGGAAGGGTGGGTGCTATGGCACATGGAAGGATGCCCAGGCAAGGGTGGATGGGGATGTCCAGGGAAAGGTGCCCGGGTGTCAGGAAAATTAATCCACAAACACCAGAGGTTTATGTCCAAAAAGGAGGCAGAAAAGTTCTTCATCTTTATTCAAACAAAGAGAGAGAGTCCACTGGGGCACAGGCCCATGGGGTTTTCTCTCTCTCAGGGTTTTGGAGGGTGCACCCTCCTTTTATCCTAAACTCCTGGCCACACATTGCCCTCTTCCTTTCCCCACTGGCTGAGGTACTAGGGAGGTACAGCCTTCCTGAACCACCAACCACATATCCCCCCCTTGAACCTACTGTTGTACCCCAAAGTTCAGAAGTTCAGCCTTGTGCAGACCCTTGCCTGTTTCAGGAGCCAAACCGTCTGAGCTCTGCCACAAACCTGCTGCCCAAAGGCAGTAGCGACATTAAGATCCATTTCAAAGACGTTAACAGCCATCCCTTCATCCATCAAATTATTTGTAAATAATTAGCACAAATCTTTCCTGTCACGGGGGAGGAGGAAATTAAAAGCTGGAGCTCCCTCTGCTGAAGAAACCCAGGCAGTTCGGTAGGAAAATGGAAAAGCAAGGGACAGAGATTCATCAGCAAAGGAAGACCTGGAAAATGTCCTTTCCCTCTATTTGCATTTTATGTTTCCTCCCAAGCCACTTAACAAGAGAGAATCTGGGTTTCGAATAAAACAGAGGAACTGATAATCCCCAGTATATTTATTATATTTTTATTATTTTGGCTCTTGTAGAATCCAAGATGCTGCCTGGGTAAGGCTGGATCGTGCTGGAGCAGTGAGCAGTTGAATTCTCCGAGGCAGGATGCTCACAGCGCTCAGAGCCTGCCCATGGGTGCCCTTTCCTCACCCCAGGCTCTGTGATGTCCTTTGGAGGGGCAGCTTTGAATCCTGACCCTGCTGCCTGCAGGGAGGAGCCACCTGGGCTGTGAAGTGTCTGACAAGGGGAGGGATGGCTCCTCTGCACCCTTAGAGGAATGTGCAGTGCAGGAATTGCATCCTGCCGTGCCCAGGCGGGGACAGTGGAAGGGGTTTGTGCAATCCGGTGAGAGGGGAAGGTGCTGGACCAGCAGGGAGCCTGCACTGGGGTCTGGGGCCCCCTTGACAGGCGGGTTTAGGGACCCCCAGCCGGGTCTGACCCTGTGCTGGCCGATGTTTAATGCAGCTCTTGTGACTGAGACCTTGGTGGTGGCTTGTCCCCACTGTCCTGGAGAGCTCTGCTCCTCAGCAGAGCAGCTCAGTGTCCTCATTCCCAGTGTGACAGCCCAGCTGATGGGAAGACAGGAGCACAGTGACACAAACACACACAGCCAGGGTGGCACAAACTCCTCTTTCTGGGGACAACCCAAAGGATCCCCATGCTCTAATGGCAGTGAGCAGAGCTGTTCCCGTGTGGGAAGACAAAAAAGCACATCTTTGGTTTGCCTGTGAGAATGGGAGAAACAATGGGATAGGACCTTGTGTGAACCAGGAGAGCTCAGGGGGTGCTGCTGGGTCATGTGAAGGATGTGCAGAATCAGGGCAGTCAGAGGGAGAGGGAAAAGCTCAAATAGTAGAAAACCCCAATAATTCCCTTTGGTTTCAGCAAAGTGTCTGGATGCCTTGATTAAAATCTGATCCTTGAGTAATGGAAATGGGAAAAAAGCTAAAATTGTGCTTCTGCTGAGATCTGTGCCTGGGTTTTCCACGACATGGTGCACGTGAATCCAGAGCTAAAATATTTCCTAAAACCTTGCAGATAACTTGGTGTTTTCTCCCCTAGATGTGCTGTCCCCCCTTGAAACGTCACACGGGGTGGAACAGGCAGCTCCAGGTGGTTGCAGAGCCCAAACCCTGGACTCCTGCATCTCCTCTGTGCCTGCCCTCGCTGCAGTGGCAGCTTCCCCCCGGCTCCCTGGGCACCGGGGCCCCCAGAGCCCCTGGCCATGTGCCCCATCTGGTGCTGCCAAGGCGAGCTGCGAGTGCCCAGCACAGGAGCACGGCCAGTGCCACCTCTGCAGTCAGGCCAGGTACTCCATGATGCCAAAAACAGCCATTGGTGTCCTCACAGAGCCACTTGATTGGAGCAGAAAAGCAACAAGAGTTGAGCCACTGAGTGGGAGTCATTGTCCCCTGGAGCTGATCAAAATTCATGTGTGGTCCTGGGTGGCATTTGGGTCAGGGAAGAAATGAGCTGGGACATCCCAGGGGGAATGCTGGTGCCCTTGCAGAGGGACATTTCCTCTTCCTTTTTGCTGGTGTGGGACTCAGAAGGGCCATGACTAACTTTACCTGCACCACTGACTCCTGCTCCTGTTTGAGGTGGTGTTTTTCCCTCCTTTGAAGTGAAGGCACTGTTGGTTTCTCTTCTCTTATATTTACATATATCTATGTATACAAACAACAGGATGGGAATGCTGGAGCAGCTGTCTCAAAGCTTTATTCCATCACAACCATCAGCCTCATTTTACAGAGTCAAGCAAGGGAGATGGAACAGCTTCAGCTGCTGGCACAGCAGACAAAGTTCTCTTTGTTACAAAGTCTTTTAACAACTTTCTAGCCAACAGCATAATATCAAAAGCTGACAAGTGTTTGCTCAGGCCAATTAATAAAGCTGTATGCACATCTTGCTTTGAACAATGCTTGCTTGTAGTAGCTTAGAACAGTGGATAAAGCTTCATTATTAAGTTTACACATTCCTACTATCTTGCTTAACATATTTTCCTGAGGCTTATCTCTACAGCTCACAGCCCTATTGTTTCTTGTCCTTGCATCTTCAGCACTCTTGCCTTTCTCCATCCTGAGATTTGCTTTCACACAGCTTTCTGCGAGTTCTATGCCTTTTCTATTTCCCACAAGGCACTTTAAAATAGATCTGTGTCTGATGCACCTCTGGAAATAAAGTCTGTGATAGAGCAGGGCAGAGGTGAGGGTTTGGGCAAGCAGCACAGCTTGTGACATTGGCCATGAGTGTCGTGGCCTGGTGCACAGTGCTGTGGCTTTCCTGCTGTGGGGTTGGGATTTTGGAGCTGTCATAAACAATGAGCACTGAGGTGCCAAAGTGCAGAACTGGAAACCGCAGTGAGGGCAAAGGGAGGTACACACTCTCACAAACTCCTCTTTTTGGGAGCAGCCCAAAGGATCCCCGTGCCCTAATGACAGCAAACAGAGCTGTTCTCATGTGGGAAGATAAAAAATCACATCTTTCCGAGGGCTGGGCACTGCTGAAGAATAAGGGCAGCCTCTCTGTGCTGTGTCTCTGCTGCTTTGAGGCTGTTTGGGTTCCCAGAGGTGAATGAACACTCTTTTCTGTGCAGACTGTTTACACTCTAAGTGTCTTTTTTTTGTTTCTCTGCCAGTTGTGAAGCAAGCTCATGCCCTGAATAGTGGCCACTGCCTTAGAGTAGTTTTGGGACAAGGGAAAATGATGCTGCAGGGAACATTTCTGCTGTCTGCAGCCACCTCTCAGGCTGATAATTTGCTTTCTTCCAGTCTCAGCCAGCTTCTCAGGTGATGGTGCACGAGGTGTGGAGGGAGCCCCTTCCCTGGGGACTCACAAGGTGGATCTCCAGGTAATGCTGGGCAGGGAGGGAGTAAAGAGCCTGCTCTGGTCCTTGGCAGGGCAGGTGAATCCTGCCAAATGTCTGTGTCCCACCTGGAGTGCCAGCAGTGTGGGGGCTGCCACCAAAGAGGGTGGGTGGAGACAGTGGGTGGCTGGAGGATGTGGGAAGGGACAGCAGGTCCCTGCCGAGGGCCATGAGTTCCTGGAGTTCCTGTGGCTGCAGACTGACCAGTGGCCCCTGCATCCACCCACAGGGTGAGAAGCTACTGCAGAAGGAAATGGGTCACCTTTTTGGTCTGGAAACACAGTTAAAGGGGAAGGATGTGGTGATAAGAGACTTGCAGGAGGAGATCACAGCCATGACAAAGAAACTGGCCCAGGCAGCAGTGAGGAACGAGGCTGAGCTGAGCCAGAAGCTGCTCACCTTCAACCAGGAGCTGGGAGCCCAAACACAGGAGATCAAAGCCCTGAGAGAACAGGTACTGGAGGCTTCCATAGGCACCAAGCAGGGAAAACAGGTACAGGTACAGGTACAGGTACAGGTACAGGTACAGGTACAGATACAGGTACAGGTGTGTTCGTGGTGTAACACCCAGGTGTGGGCAGGAGAGGTTTGTGTGTCTGAAATCAAGGGAAATGAGGGAGGGAAATGAGGGAGGGAAATTAGGTTCCTTCCTTCCTGAAATCCTGGAATCCTTCCTTCCTGGAATCATTCCTTCCTTCCCAGGATCATTCCTTCCTGGAATCCCTCATTCTCTAATGCCTCTTGCATTAGGATTTCAGCAGGAATAGCCAGAGCACATTTAAGGGGGTATTTGAAGGTGCTCAAGTGCAGTCCCACCACACCAGAAGTTCCAGCTGACCCTCTCCAAAGGCGCTGTAGCAGTCAGTGCATGTCTGGTGAGGAACACAGGTAAATCTGTGTTTGCAGATCAGTGACCTGCAGAAAGGCTCAAACCAGGTTTTCAGCCATTCCCTCCATGAAAGAGACCTGGAGATTGGGAGGCTGAGGAGAGAAAGTGAGAAGCTGAGGAGGGACCAGGCTTTGACTGCAGGTATTGTATCCCTGGAGCCCTGGGTCAGGCCATGAAGCAGTTTGGGACTGGCTGTGGATGAGGAGCAAGCATTGGCCAAACTGTACAGGCAACAAATTATTCCTAGTGGCTTGTAGAAATCATCAAATCACAGAATAGTTTGGGTGGGAAGGGAACGTAAAGACCACCTTGTCCACCCCCTGCCATGGGCAAGGACACCTTCCACTGTCCCAGGCTGCTCCAAGCCCCTGGAGCAGGGGGATAACCTGGCCTTGGACACTTCCAGGGATGGGACAGCCACAGCTTCTCTGGGTACCCTGTGCCAGAACCTCCCCACCCTCACAGGGAAGATTTTCTTCCCAATATCTCATCTAAATGTCACACCTGGATGACCTCTGACCAGAGTTGTTTTCCTCAGGTCTGGTGAGCAACATGCAAAGGGAACTTCTGCAAAAGGAGCAGAAAATCCAGAAACTCCAGCAAGAGACGGAAAAACTGAACAAGGAAAACCGAGAGAAGGACAATCAGCTGGCCATGGTTTCAGCCAAGGTTGGCAGCACTGATGAGGGGCTCAGTAATTTATGACCCCCCTGTCTGACATGGGGATTGAGGTGGGAAAGCAGGTGAGAAGGGCTGTGCTGCTCTCTGGTGAGGATGGTAGCAGTTGTATGACTGGGATGTAGTGGTGATGGTGCCATGACCGTGTCTGGATGTGCCATGATGCCCAGGGATCAGGGTCTCCTTCCCCAGCTGGATCTCCCTCCCTGCTCTGCACCAGGTACCATGTGCCCTGCACTCCTGTGAGCACAGCAGCTCTCTGTACACACAAAATATTCCTGCCGAGATCCTCCCCAGGAGCCATGGAAACCCTGTCACTGTGCTGTGGGGCTCCCTGTGGCCCAGCCTGGATTTGTCCTTAAAGAAAGTGGCTTTTGCAGCAGGTTGTTCCTCTGCATGTGCAGCTCCTCCTCAACAGGCAGAGCTGCACTGGGAGCATGACAAGGGGAGAGGCTGTGTTGGCTGCAATGTGCCAAGAGATCACAAGGATTGACTGGGAATCCGAGAATTGCTGAGGTTGGAAATGACCTGTAAGATCACAGCCATTTCCCCAGCATCACCAAGGCCACCACTAAACCATGTCCCCAAGTGTATTTTAAATCCCTATAGAGATGGCCACTCAACCACTGCCCTGGGCAGCCTGTGCCAGTGTCCCATTCACAGCAGGAGCAATGGTATCACTGCCCTGATGGTTAATTTTCTTGGTTGCCATTCCTTCTAGTGCTTGAGAATTAAAGAACAAGCAAGGCATGAACTTGGAGAGCAAGAGCTGATCTCCTGCAGAAATGTGAGTCAAAATCATTTGGGGTAAGCAGTGACTGCAGGAATGCATCAGTGAGGGAATAATTAACTGGGAGTTGTTTGGAGCTCAGCTCCTGTCCTGAAAGGCACACAGTGGGCAGATCTGGGGAAGTGTAAACGCTGTTGGATCTGTCCCACTGGTTTAGGTGTGAAGGGAAGGGCAGGGGAGAGGGGGCTTGGGGGGATGTGATCAGAAATGAGATTTAATTCCACTTGTGAGCTGGTATAACCACAGTAAATACAGATTAGAAGAGAATGACAGGGTAAACAAAGTGACTTTGATGGAAGGAAAATCTTGGTGATCAGTGGAGGTCATCCAGAGGGGCAATGCCCAGTGAGACCCCCACCCTCCCTGGGCTCTTGCAGCGCATTGAGGAGCTGGAGCAGGACCTGGAGGGGCTGCAGAAGGAGATCCAGAAACACCAGAGTGTCCAAAAGCAACTGGCTGAGAAAGCCAAGGTATGCCATTGGCTTCAGGGGACACACAGAGGGCAGGTGCCATCATCCCAGAGGGGTGGGACAGGGACCAGCAATCCCAGGGAGCACAGGCTGGATGGGCAGGGCATCCAACTGTCCTGAGCTCTACCACGAATGGAAGAAGAAAAATGATGGCAGAGTGTCCTGTGTGGGTGTTGGGTGAGAAAGTCAAGGATGGGCACGATCCCAGGGGTGAAACCCAGACAAAAAGTGCTGTGAAGGGTCAATGCTGCAACCCCAGTCCCTGCAGCAGGATTGCTGTCTGTCTCCTGGTATTCCAGAGGCACATTTGGACTTGTCTGATGGGAGCAGTGGGTGAAATGCCCATGGCATGGTTTTGGATGTCACTCTGAGATGCCAAAGCTCTCGTTGCAGGCAGAGGAGGAACTGAAGGCAGCCTGGTGCCGGCAGGCAGAGCAGCTGCAGGAGATGGGGCACAGGGAGCTCCTGCTGAGATCTGACGTGCAGAGAGCTGAGGAGCAGGTGGGGAATGGCAGGGATGCCCACTGGGGCCATGGGCAGAGCAGGGATGCAGCTTCCCACGGGGAAGGAGGTGGAAACAGAAACCCACCAAGCACCAAACTCCAGCACGGGACTTACCTTGTCACTGGGGGGAGTATAAAAGGCTTGTCCACAGAATTTGTGTGGGCAGCAGGGACAACAGAGCAGTTTAATAGGATACAGAAAAGGAATCTCTAATCTTAGTTGTGCTGTCTGGGAGCCACACTGACCTCCCTCAGTGCCTGGTGATGCTGCTCGGGGCAGGGACAGCCCTTTGCAGGCAACATCATGAGATGTGGATCCTCAGCGATCAGCAGAGCAGCTGTCAAGGATTGCTGGTGTTTGTTCCCATGTGTTGACCCCTGCTGCAGCTGGAGTCGTTCAAGAGCCAAGTGATGCAAGTCTGCTCTCCATCAGCACTTGGCAGCACAGGGAAATCTGCAACAGAGCAGCAGGTGAGTTCGGACCCCAGCTCACAGAGATGTTCAGAGCCTCAAGGCAGGTGCTGCAGAACAGCCGTGGTGCCTGCTCCATGGACAGCATCCAGGCTTCTCCAGAGGAGGATTTGTGCTGTGGCTGTCCCAGTTAATGGCTCTGCTCCATGACATGAGGGGGACACAGTCCTTTTTGTCTCTCAAAGCTTAGAGGGTGTCTGGTCTGCACCAGGGACAAGCCCAGGAGTCTGATGTGGCTCCAGTTTGCAGAAGTCTCAGCTCCTGCTCTCTGAGATGATCCCTGGCCCCTCACCTGGAAAACAGCCTGAGCTTTCTTCTCTTTCTTCACTCACTTTTGCCAGGTGATGGAGAAGGTCAGGCAGATCTGTGATGAGAACCAACAAAGCCATGAGAGAGAGAAGAGTCTGCAGGAGGAATTGAGCTCCAGGCTCACAAAGGAGAAGGAGTTGTCTGCAAACATCGAGGTGTTCAAGAACTCCCTGCAGAAGCTCCAGGTCAGCCCTTTAAGTACTGAGGACCAAATGGCAGCTGGGGGACTTTGGCACAGGGTGTTTTGTTGGCCCGAGGAAAGGTCAGAGTAAAGATACAGCCCTGAAATAAAAGCATCACCACCCCTACGTGTTCATGTGGCTGTTCCCAGGAGTTTGTCACAGATTCTTCACAGAGCCCATCCTGTTTTGTTCTAACCCTGGACACTGAGAGTTTTAGACTTTCTGTGCTGACAGGCACTGACCCCAAGAGAACTCTGCTTCTGTCCTGAGGCCGTGGAGAAGGCTTCCAAAATTCAATGACAGAACTGGGATCACGGGTGTGTAGTTTAAATAGAAGTGTGTGGTATCACATGGTGGAAAACTTAGAATTTAAAGTTTTAGAATATAGTAATATATAAAAAGCAAGATGGAGGTTTTAAGGCAAAGGTTTTGTCTTTCTTCTTCATCTTCTTCTTCATGGTTCTAAGTGATTTTTTGTAATTAGATAAAAAACCCACATTGCAGACCACAGGTTGTTAGTTATTAGGTTAAAAGTAAAAATAATTTAGGCAACAGCTCTTAATTTGGCTTTAAAACGCCTTGTAAAAAAATAAAAATGCGTCTCCATTTTTAACTTGTTAGCTAGAAGCGCTGTAAAACTCACTGTAACATAAATAAGAATTAATAAATATCTGAGTCCAAACAAGAAATACCATCTCTCAAGCATTTAATCCCAACTCTAGCTAAATAAATAAATAAATAAATAAAGCACCAAACATCTCTGCCAAAGACAGAGACACCTTCCACTGGACAAGGTTGCTCCAAGCCCCATCCATCCTGGCCTGAGATGTTCAGAAAAGTTTTGTCATTTGCCTGAAGGCCACTGGCAGTGGAGACTCACTCCCCACTGGTTCCATTTGTTCCAGGCTTGCCTGAGGAGCCCCTGCAGCAGCTCCAGCCTGCGAGGGGAGCTGGGGCAGCTGGAGATGCTGTGCCTGGATCCCTCCCTCTCAGCCATCAGGACAGCAGTGGTGGACATGGCACATGGTGTCCTGTCCTGGCTGGAGGGGGCAGAGCAGCTCCTGGCCAGCACAGGGATGGACCTGCACACCTCTGGCAAAGGTCTGTGTCCTGCTGGGCATCCCTGGGAAAGCCAGATGTAGAGGACAAAGTCCAGCATGAGCCTCTCTCTGGGGAGAAAATCACAGGATCATGGAAATTTTAAGGCTGGGAAATACCTCCAAGGTCACAGAGTAAAGCCATTAAGTCAGCACTGTTCCCAAGTGCCACAGCCTCACACTTTCTGAACACTTCCAGGGATGGGGGCCTATTCCAATACCTGACCCTCCTTTTCCATGAAGAAATTTTCCTGGATTTCCATAATATGGTGTGTGAGACCCCACACACTGAGGCTCCATTGACTTTTGCAGGGCTGTTGGCTGCTCTGGGGAGTTTGTCAGAGAAGAGTCAGGAGATGGCACAGAGGAATCAGATGCTGCAGGTACAGAAACATTTCTGCACGTAAACGAGGTGGATTGAGACTCTTTCTATGGGTAAATATGATGGCAGTCCCAAGCAGGCCAGTGTGGCACCTGGATTTGGGATGTGCAGTCCTGAGATCCCTGAGTCTGCAGGAAATGTAATGTAAGGACACAGAGCCCACTGTCAGTGTGTCCATTTCCCTAACACAGCCAGGATGGAGAGGAGATCTCTTTTGTGAATTTTTTGTGAGTGGATGTACACAGGAAGTTTATTTCTTGCCCTGCTGCTCACACACTTCCTTTAATACCTCCATGTCTCCCTGTAGGAGCAATTAGAGAAGCTCCAGGAGCTGCAGGCAGAGCTGCTGCAGGAACACACAAAGGAGCTAGAAGCAAAACATGAACAAGACTTAGAGATAAAAATCCAGCAAATTATCCTGGAAAAGGACAAGGAGAGCAGACAGGTACAGTGACATGGTTGCTGTTTCAGAAAAGGAATATTATGCAGGAAAAATGGACATCTGTAAGTGTTGGATAACAAGAAGAGGAACCTCTAGGAACCTGAACTGAGTGCAGTCCCAAGGGACTGGATATCCTCCCATATGGAGCCAGATGATGTAAACTCCCAAAAGTATCCGTGGTGGGACTGGGAAGCTCCTGCAGGTAACATCAGGAGCACAGCTGCCAGTCAGTCACTGGGAGAAAGGGGAAAGCAAGGATCCGTGAGCTTAGGGAAACATTGCACTGCTTCCTCTCAAGCCTTCTGTCCTCCCTCCCCATGCTGGGGTCCCTTTTCGGCTGGAAAAGAAGATCCCTGTGGAGCAGGGGGGCAGCTCCCCTCAGTCCCAGGGACGCCCAGGCCATCCCAGCAGTGGCTCTGGTGTGGGATGCAGTGTCACTCAGGGTGTGAATGGGTGTTTTGCCGTGTGTGTGTGATCATGGTGGCTTTGTAGGACAGTTTCCAGTCTCATTCTGTGTCTGGCACCTTGGGAATGGTTTCCTGGTGTTCAGTTTTCTAAGGATTCAGGCAGGAAGCAGCCAAGCAGCTCCTACCCAGTCTCTCAGCTGTACTTTCCCCCAGATGCTCCCATCCTCTTTCACTGAGTTACCTCGTGTCCTGCCAAGCTTTTCTCCCATCACCTGCCTCTGCTCCAGAGCAGTGACCCTCCCTGCTGCTTTCCTCCTTGGAGCTGAGGTCTTTTTTTCCTGAGGTGAATCCGTGGGCTGTTGATTCACAGATTCTGGAGAGCGCTGTCACCAAGGAGAAGGACAGGTACAGGAAATCTGTGGAGGAAGAACAGAAGAAGATCCAAGAGTTGGAAAGCCACCTAAGAAGCATGGCTGAGGTGAGCATGGGAGGTGAAGCAGAACAGATCACTCTTGGAATGAAGAAAAGGGAAAGTGTGCTGTAGTGTGGTGCTCCAGGGGCTCAAATCAGTGGATGAAGGGGTTTCCCCATTCCCCCAAATACACAGAGAGCAGCTGTGCAGAAAGAAAGGTGGATTCCTGGCTAACCTAATCACTGCTTATTTCCTCTGGTAGACAACAGCAAAGAAGGCAGAGGAGCAGGAACTGGCAGAGGGAAAACTGAGAGAAGCTTTGCATGAGCTGAAGAAAATCACTGCACAAGAGGTACCGACCTGTGCAGGTGGAGGATGCAGTGCTGGAGAAAAAGGCTTCCCCCATCCCTGAAACCCTTCCCTTCACTCTTGTGACCACCCCCCAGGAGAGATGATGTCGATGGCGATCCCAAAAGAAACCCCCAGCACTTCTAACCAGGCTCCCCTGTCTTGTTTCCCAGGCAGAGTTACAGCAGCAGGTGCTTCAGCAGGACCAACAGCTCAGGGCTGCCCAGGAGGAAAATGAGTTACAGAGGCACAAACTGCAAGAAGAAGTAGCAGGATACAGGGAGCAAAGCAAGCAGCATTCCCTGACCATCTTGGCTTTACAGGACAGGCTGCTAGAGGCCACTGAGCAGCAGAAGGTGCTGGAGGAGGAAAAGGCAGCACTTGTGGAAAAATTGGAAGGTTGGTAAGGGTTGTATGGGATGCACCTGGAGCAGGAACCAGCTGGATTAACATGAAATGTGTGTGGAGATGGAACAGTGAATTTGCTGCCGTGGAAAACATTGGGAAGATGTTGAGTGAAGGTTATTCCACCTGCAGGACAAGCTCTGTGAGGAACAGAAGCAGTTTCATTGTTTGGTGGTTTTGGAGAACAGACAGGGTTTGCCACTGGATGAGGGCTCTTTGCCCTCTAAAATGACAAGACTGGCTTGCTTTGGGCTGCTCTGAGATAGAAGCAATCCCAAGCAAAGCTGGATGTCAAGAATTGTCTGGTTGGCCTTGGAACTGGGCTCTCAGGGACATGGGTTTGCCAGAGACAGTCCTCAGCCCTCAGAGCTGCCACGGGAAGGAAATTATTTATGTAGCAGAAGCAACAAGCATGTAAGTGTTACAGAGAAGTAATTGGCCTTTTTTTTCTTGTGTCCTGTAGGATTTCAGTGTGATGCCAATAGGTCAGCATCAGGAAATTGGCTGGAGGTTTGTCCTGCCATGGAGTCTCATGTTTGTCTGAGGTGAGCAGCACTCGCTGATGGTGACAGAGAAGCTTGGAAAGGGCAGGGACCACTTCTTGAGAGAGCCTAAGGAAATCCAGCACCACTTGTCCCAAGATGCTTTTAGTCTGAGATAGGACTCAAATCCCTCTGCTAAGCTGATCCTAAGGGCATAGAGCATCAAAGTGATGGCAAACAGCACATGAGGATCTGCCATCCCATCTGGATGGCTCCAGGTAAGAGCAGGTGTTGTGGCCAATCCCACACCACAGGGTGACCCCAGGGGAACAAAAGGCAGGTAAAAAACAATATGTGCATTAACCAGGAATGCAGCACAGGAAGGTGTGCATGGGCTCCCTGCCGTGAGGTTTCCCAGCTGAGGGTGAGATCTGCCCTGATCTTTCCCAGGAAACTGCAGGAGGAGCTGGCAGTGGCACAGGGCACGCTCCTGGAAAAGAAGGCGATCATCAGCAGGCTCAGCAGGGAGCTGTCAGAAACCAGAGCCAGGATGTCAGACATGAGAGGTGGGTGATGTGCACTGTGTGGCTTCCATCATCCCCATCCTCCTCCAGGCAGTGATGGTGAAGTGGGTGCACACAGATCACAGGAAATTGATGTCACCATTCTCAGGCACTGCTTTGTCCTGCTGGGGGCAAAGCAGGCAGTCTGTTCCCTTTGGGAAGGGGAATTTCTCCCCATCTTTGGCTAAGTAATAGAAATGACAATGAGAGAACAGAGTAATAAGAGGGAGAGCAGGTAAACAAAACTGAGCTCAAAATCACACTGGTGAACTTCTTGGAGCTGAAGAAGTTCCAAGCCAGTGGACTGGGAGAGCCTTGCCTGGGATTCCTGCTGGGCATGTGAACATGGGAACAGAGCCCATGGGGAATGTGTGGAGTCAAAAGATGCAAGTCAGAAAATGCTGGTGACCTGTCCTCCTTCAATCTGAAGGAAAATTGTCACAGCAAGGAATTGCCCTGGGTCATGCCTCCACAAAGAGACTGGGATTTAGTAAACCAGGATGTGCTGTTGGCATGGCCCTGGATCTGAGGGAGCTGTCAAGGGTAGGGCAGGGCTCTGCAGGGATGAGCCCCATTGTTGCTTCCATGAGGGTGCACCAGCTGCAGATCCCCCAGGAGGGGGTGATGAATCAGCCAGCATCCCACGAGGCTGTTCTGTGCTTAGGGGAGCTGAGTGAAGAGCAGAAGGTGGAGCTGGAGCACAGCCAGAGGCAGCTGAAACACCGGCAGTGGGAAGTGAACCAGCTCAGGGAGAAGCTATCCGAGATGTCCAGCCTTGTGGAGGAGAAGGATCAGGCCCTGAAAGCAGCAGCTGAAGAGTTAAGGTACACCCTGACATCACCCATCTGTCTGTCCCCAGCAGCTGATGGTGCTTAGGGTTTGTGTGAGAGTGTCAGGATGGAGCTCAGCTCTGAATCCATGACAAAGGAACAGAAATGGGGGTTTAGTGGAGCTCATGCCAGTAGATGTGTAACTCAGGCTCTTGTATCTAAGCACTGTTCCCACCCACACCGTGGTAGTCATCAGTGGGTGCCCAGGGTCCTGCTCTCCACGAGCTGTTTGGTCACCTTCATCCAGCACGGGGTCCCACAGCATCTTGTCTCTGCACACAGCCAGGCCCAAAGGCGCTGCCAGGTGCTCAGGGATGCTTCCCAACAAACACTGGAGAGCCCAGAGGATGCTCCCAGGACACCAGTGCAGGTGGGTGAAGCCTCCTGGTGGGTGAGTCCTCATGGAGAGCACCGAGTGTGGGTTTGCCAAGAGCACCGATGGCACGTGGTGGTTTTTGGCATCACGGTGAGCGCCAAGGCTGGAGCTGCCCGAGGCTGGGATGGCCGGGCACCCCTCCCGAGCTGGGCTGCCTGTGATGGGGACCCGCAGCCCCCACCAGGCTGCCGCTGGTTAATGAGCTGATGTTTGCGCAGCGCTTTGGAACCGCCAAGTGTTGTGAGTGCTAATGGCTGCTTTAATTGCTAATTAGACAGAATAGCAACATGCAAGCATTCCTTCCTTTTCCCAGCTTGCCGAGCTGCAGGTAATGCAGAACAATTCTAGGGTTGGATGTGCAGAAGTAGGGGCAGCTCGTTGCAAAGGACAGGAAGAAACTCTCCTCATCCTCCTCTGCCAAATCCCTATTTGATTTCCGCGAGGCTGGAAAAGGGAAGAACTCACAGGTGGTGGCGGCAGCAGATGGAGGGACTGTCGGAATTGTACATTCTGTACAGCGAGGTGGCAGCCAGCAGCGTGCCAGCGGGGCCGGCTGGCTGCGGGGGCCGGGCACTGACTCACTGCCAGCTGATGGGCGGGGGGAGGCACTGCCCGTCCTGTTCCCTGGGATGGGGAGGAGGAGATCCCAGTGCTGGGGGGGCATTCGGGAGCGGGGTGGGCAGAGATGTGGGGGGAGAGCAGCCAGACCGAAGCTGGGGGTCTGCAGCCAAAACAGGGCATAGCCCTGTGGCCCCAGCCCCGTCACAGATTTTTGGATGTTTGTCATAATGAGGGATCTGGATGGGGCTGGGAGAGGGCAGTGCACACGTAGAGCGATGTCCATGTTTGTGTAGGGTCTCTGAAGTGCATCGGTGTTTGTGTGCACATGGCAAATGCTCTGTGGTGGTACAAAGGACAAGGGGAAAACGCCAGCATGGCTGTTCTGGGCTATGCACCAGCCCTGTCCTGGCTCTCCAGAGCATTTGCAGGGTTCATATCCTGACCATGGCACAGCAGAGCAGGAAAGAGGTCTCTGACAAGTCTCTTATACCCCCCAAGTGCATGGAGATGCCCCCCAGGCTTTGTTCTTGTGCCAAGTGCCCAGTGTCTGCCAGCAAGGCTGTGTTTACATTGAACTTCAGACTGGGCAAGAATCTGAATTCTTCCAGGAGCCACCATCAGACTTGGCTGAGCTTGGTGCAAAATGCCAAGGCCTGAGGCACGAGGAGACAATCCAGCGCCAAAAGGAAGGATTGGCTGAGCTCCGGGAGAGAGTGAAGGTGCTGGAGAAGAGACAGTGCTCAGGTGAGCAGGGCTCTCCTGGAATTATGGAATGGTTTGGGTTGGAGGAGACTTTAAAGACCATCTTGTCCCACCCCCTGCCATGGGACACCTGCCATTATCCCAGGATGCTCCCAGCCCTGCCCAGCCTGGCCTTGGGCACTTCCAGGGATGGAGCAGCCACAGCTGCTCTGGGCACCCACCCTATGCCAGGGCCTCCCCACCCTCACAGGGAGGCTGGGAAAGCTGGGCAGCCTCAAAGTTGTGTAGGGAGTGGAACAATTTGGAATCTGCTTTTTTGCATGCAGATGCTGTGAAGAGCAATTCAGAGCCACTGGTGGTCTGGATGAAAGACTTAGCAGAGAAAATAGTCCAACAAAGAGGTCTTGAGCTGGAACCTGCACCTGTGTTGGGAGAAAAACTGAAGGCTGGCAAGGTAGGGAGGCAATGTGTGGTTTGTAATGCCTGGGACTTTGTTTGGAAAGTACATGGGAAAGGGAGAAATGGGTTTTCAGAGACGCTGCATAGGAAGTCAGGGTGGGAGGTGCAGCCTGATGGATGGCAGGCAGGGCTCCTGCAGTGCAGGGCTCCTGCAGGGGCTGGCAGCTGCCCCAGGACCAGCACACTGCCTGTTGGAGTAGCACCAGGGCTGAGCAGGGTGGGAGGCTTGGGGCCACAGCGATACTGGGGTGGTTTTCCCATGAGGTGAAAGGCAGCTCAAGGCCACTTGACAAAAAAAACAAGCCCGAAGTGGGCTCCATGGGTCTTTCCCTGTCTGTGCAGGCTCCTGACCACATTCCCAGTGGGAGCTCCTTCAAGATCACCAACAGCCCAGTGGAAATGGCTGAGGTGACAGACCTGGGTGAGAAGATGGTATGTCAGGGATAGATGTGGTAAATATATAGATAGATAGATGATAGATGTGGTAAATATATAGAGTGTGTGTACATGCCCACTGTGTGTAGAGTTTAGATGTTTTTTGAACACTTTTCAGTGGTAGGTCACATCAGGATGCTGCAGGAATGTTGAAGATGAGCTGCTCTGTGTTCCAGTTGAAGACATCCCTGTCCATGGCAGGGGGGGTTGGTTTGATGACTTTTAAATTTCCCTTCCAAACTATTCTGTGGTTCTATGGCCTAGAGCACACTGTGTGTCTGTCAGGACATCCTGGGACCCCAAAACATGCCATGGTGCATCAGAGAGCCTGGGAAGCAGTGGAGGGAGCTGCCAGGGAAGGGGTCCACAGGTAGCACAGCTGGTGGGTCGGGCAAGGGGGTCTCTTCCCTCCAAAAAAGGCAGGGAAGCACCCAGCAGGGAAAACAGTCATTTTAGTAAAGGAAGCAATCGAGTCCCAGTAAGCTGTGCAGCTGGGAATGGAATGCAGACCTACTTTCCTTGGGACACTGTCATCTCCTCAGGAAAGCAGACAGAAAGCAGATGGCTGAGCAGCGTGATGGAATGCAGCAGACCTGGTAAATAATGCATTCCCTCTTCTTCCCACAGTACCTTGATGTAATCGGTGCTCTGGGATGCCTGATGGAGATGAAGGAGCTGTCAGGAGTGCAGCCTCTGCAGCGCCTTCCTCGGGATACAAGGGCAGAAGTGGGGCTGCAGAGACAGAAAGCTCTGGAGCTGTTGTACAAAACGATCAGGAACCTCCAGGTTTGCCTGGAAAGGAAAGAAGAAAGGCTGAAAGATTATGAGGGAAGTGTGGAGCAGCTCAGGTATGGAAAGTCAGGGTTGTGAACAAGACCTGGGCCTTGGATGCCAAGTGACAGGGAGCTTGGGGCAAGGAGTGATGTGACACTGCTGAGCCCTGTGTCTGTCTGGGACCAGTCTGTGTCTATGGCACAGTACAAAAGTCAAATTTGTCAAGAGGAGTGGGGAAAGGTCCTCCCAGTTTTCTGCAGTATTACTTTCTGCAGCCTCACATGTTTGAGCAGTGTCAGAGGCAGGAAAGCCTTGACAAGTTCCCTTGTCCTGGGTGGCTGGAGCCTGGGAATGCTGGGGCAGAGTCAGTGTCAGCAGGACCAAGGAAGGCGTGGGAGACCACGGCTGAGGGTCAGGGGGCTGATAAGGGCAAAAGACCAACGGAATCCTCCCCTCCTGTTCTGCACAGGCAGAGCCAAGCTTCCCTGCAAAGCTGCCAGGGGGAGATGTCCAAGCTGGAAGATGAAGCCCACGGGGAGGCAGAGGAGAAGGCTCCGGAGGGGATGCAGCTCCAGCTGCACCAGGAGAAGGGGCTGCAGCGAGCAGCCAAACGGCACAGGGTGAGAAGGAAACACCCAACTCCTGCTCCTTGTACAACAGCCAGCTCCACTGTTGGGAACCACGCACTGAGTGGTCAGTCAGACCACCCCAGGAGGCTGAAGGTTCTGTGCCCCCAGTGCTCAGCTCAGCATCGTGGCAGCATCCCTTGATGAAGTGGGAGGAGGTGCAGACACCTGTAGCCATGGGTTTGTGCCGTGTATGAGGGCAAGGGAGGAGAGCAGATCATGCTGAGCTCTCATTGCTGTGTCTGTTGTCTCTGTCCTGCAGCCTGGAGCCACAAAGCCTCTCTGCTCGGGCCAGCCAAAGGCCAAGGAGCCCATGGCAAGTGCTGCCAAACCAGGAAGCTCATAGGAGCAGCAGCACAGGGACCTTCACTGGGTGCTGGTCTGCAGCAGGAACAGGTCATTGCTGTGCACTCTGTGAGGGTGCAGGTGTGGGTGCATTTTGAGGAGCTGCAGTTTGTATCCCTGGACACACTGGTGTACAATGTAGGACTTTATATTCCCACAGTCCATGTCCATAGAGTGGTGGGATTTATAGCAGTGGAAACGGTGGTGAGGGTACAGTCCAGTGTACGTGTGTGTGTATTTGTGTGTGTGAACACAGCCCAGAGATGTGTGAAGTGAGCTGTGAGGGTGTGTCTGTCCTTGCTGAAGTGGCCTCAAGCACATGAAGCCAACATGGCTTGAAATATCCCTTGCAATTCTGTGTCCTCTGGTCTCTATCGTGTCTTGGGGAAACTGAAATGTAAGGCACGATGTAGTACAGAATTCTGGAATTCCTGGAACACTCCAGGAATGCTGGACCTGCCACCTGGGAAGGGGGAAGAAGAGGACTTGTGTCAGCCACACCAGTACAGCAGCAGCATGAGGACAAGCTGGAGAGATGAGAGAGATGTACTGGTGGGGTGATGTCAAAGGCTCAGTCACTGATTCTTGTCAAGAGCAAGGGCAAGAACAGACCCTGGATTTTGGGAAGCAGCAGTGCTTTGGGAGGGAAGGGATCCCTGCAGGCAATAGGCAGCTCCAGCACATCATCCCTGCAGTCCATGTGCCAAGTCCTCTGCAGACCTCTTCAGCTGAGGATAATTTGGATGTGAACAAAGCCCCTCTGGGGTTTTTTGGTCTTTATTTTTAAATAAGATAAAAAAAGTCTGGAAGCAACACAGATCTGCAGCTGGCAGATGCAGGGCTGCATCTCTGAGCATGCAGAGCACCCATGTGTGCACAGTGGCCAGTCCCTAGTGGCAATGGCAGTGCCGTGGGGCTCTGCTAATTGCTGTGGCCTGCTTTTCCTTCTCCCTGTGCTGGGAGAAGTTGGATGCTTCCCTGTCTGAATGCCTGGGTTTACTTTGGGGCAAGGCATGACCTTGCATGCTTGTGTAGGTTAAAGGTGTATCTGGAGGTGTTGGGCTCCTCCATGGCTCTGTGTCCTCCCCACGCCACCCTTGGCAAACTCTGGGTCAGTAATGGATGGAGATGGCAAGAGCACAGGTGTCTGTGAGTGCACCAGACTCCCTGTACCCTCCCCGAGCCTATGGATTCATGGAATCATGGGTTGGTTGGAGTTGAAAGAGACCCTAAAGACCGTCCAGGGGGGTCCCACCGGTGATGCCGGACTCTAAGGATCATCCCAGGCTGATCCCACCGGGGCATGGATGAGCCCTGCCGATGTCGCCGGTGGAGGGGAGGGTGTCTGAAGGGATGGAGGGATGGTGATGGAGGGATGGAGGGACCGAGGGATGGAGGGACGGAGGGATGAAGGGATGCTGATGGAGAAACGGAGGGATGGAGGGATGGTGATGGAGAGTTTGAGGTATGCAAGGACGGAGGGATGGAGGGATGAAGGGACGGAGGGATGGTGATGGAGGGTTGAAGGGATGGAGGGAAGCGGGGAGGGGACCCTGCCGGGGTCGCTGCGGGAGCCGGGCGGGGCGGTCCGAGGGGACGGCGATGCGCTGATGGGGGCGGGCAGCCGGAGCCCCCCGGGACGGGCGCGGGAGCCGGGGGGCTGCAGCCCGGCCCCGGGGCGGAGCGGGGCGGAGCGGCGCGGCCATCCGGGCACCGCACCATGGCGGCGGCGGCGGAGGAGCCGGAGGGGCGGCGGGGCCGGGGGCCGAGGCCGGGACCGGCTCCGGGCAGCCCCGCGGGGCGGGCGGTGGGCGAGGGCTCGCCCGGGGGCGGCGGCCGCCGCGTCTTCAGCCCCGCCGGGGAATTCCGCGAGTTCTCCCGGCGGCAGCTCCGCGACATGGAACGGCTCTTCCGACAGTGAGTGTGGGGCACGGGGAGAGGGGGGTCCCCGGGTAGCAGCGCCGGGGCGGACGGGGGACCCCGGGCATCCGGCACCATCCATCCCGGTTCCCGCATCCCCGCCATCCTGGCTTCCTGCAGGGCAGATGCCCCAGCGCGTCCCGGCCCCTGTCCGCGGGCGGGACCCCCTGTTCCTTGTGAGAGGGACCCCCATGCACCCCAGCCTCCTGCGGGAGGGATCCCCCGGCTCTTTGTCAGAGGCTCTCTCTCTGTGCAGCAGGGGTGCCAAGGCACCTCCAATTCCTTGCAGGAGGGATCCCCTCCTGCCGCTCTCAGGAGGGATGCCAGGTACACCCCTCTCCTCCCCAAACCCCTCTCAAGAGGGGACACCTTCCCCCAGCTCCTTGCAGAAGCCGTTCCTGAGCGCCCCTGAATTCTTACAGAAGGAATCTCCTGTCCCCCATGACGGGGTACCCTGCTGCTGAGGCCAGAGAAAGGAGTCTGAAAGAGGGGACCGGGACCCCCACATTCCCTCTGCCGCATCACCGAGGGATCGCACATCCCTGCAGCTCCTGGGGCCGCAGAGGCCAGGCTGGTGTGTCCTCAGCATCCCTGCCCGCGCTGCGTGCCACCACGCGTGGCGGAGCGTGACTCGGAGCACGGGCTCGGCCCCTGGGAAGCGGGGGGAGCTGGCAGCGAGCCTCCAGCCCTGGAAATTTCCAGGGGGAGCCAGAAATCGGGGTGACTCCAAGAGTGGTCACGCTGAGATGCGCGGGAGTAGCCAGGGGCGAACGGGACAGCCCGGAGCATCCCCATGGATCCCGCGCTGCGTGCTTTGTGCAGGAGGCGTGGAGACAGCGCGGAGGCATGGCTGAGTCCAGGCGAAGGCATGGCTGAGATGCCAGTACCGCTGGCACCGGGGGGAGGGAGGATCCGCATCGGCATCCTGCGTGTTCTCGCTCGGACCCGAGCGGGGAGGTGGAGGAGCTGGGGGGGTTGGAGGCGGTGACGGCCAAAACACAAGGCTGGGGGGCTGCGGAGGGAGCGGGCGCGCCCTGTCAGCATCCCTGGCTGCGCACGGAGCCTGCCTGTTCCCCGTGTCCTGCCCGGGGGGCTGTCACCCACCCCCTGCACCCCTGGCTGCCCACGGAGCCTGCCTGTTCCCCGTGTCCTCCCGGGGGGCTCTCACCCACCGCGAGCACATGGCAGCGAGCCAGACGCGCAGGTTGCTCTGCAGCAGAAGGGAGCCTGCGGCGGGGACAGCGTGCTCGGGGTCGGCGAGGGGGGACAGTGGCAGCTCCCGGTGCCGGTACCGGCCGTGCCCGGTGCCGGTGGTGGCCCTGCCCGGGGTGCTCCGGGCACAGATGGCCGGGCGGGTGTGGGCGCCGCGCAGGGAGGGAGCGGCGTGCGGAGCAGACGGGTTTGCTGTGGCAGCTGCGGCGTCTCGCTGCAGCCAAAGGAGCAGCCAGGGCTGCGAGGCACTGTGGGGGGGGGTTGGGAGTCGGGGTTTCTCCCAAGGGAAGGATGTTCTGGAACAGAGCCCTGCCACACTTTCCTCGGGATGTGACAATCCGGCTGTAGAGGATAAAGTGATGTGGGGAAGGGTTTTGGCTCTCCACAGGAGAGATGGTGCCCTTTGGGAGGTGCAGGATGCTGGTATACCAAAAAAAAAATAGAGGAGGGGATTGAGGGAAAGGATGTGCCCTGAGACTGGGGAGGTGGCTTGTGTGGCATGAAGTGGCCACGTCAGGTTAGGCAACTCACCCCTTGCAGAGAAACTCTGTGGGATGCAGGATGGAGAAGGACTTTGGACAAGGACATGGAGTGACGGGACAAGGAAGAAAGTCTTAAAAAGTGACGGGGGCAGGGTTAGTTTGGGTGCTGGGAGGAAGCTCATCCCTCTGAGAGTGGTGAGGCCCTAGCACAGGGTGCCCAGAGCAGCTATGACTGCCCTATCCATGGAAGTGTCCAAGGCCGGGTTGGACAGGGCTTGGAGCAGCCTGGGATGGTGGAAGGTGTCCTTGCCCATGGCATGGGGTTGGAATGAGATGGTCTTTAAAGTCTGTTCTAACCCAAACCATTCCATGATTCTATGATCCTATGCTCCAAGAGGGGTATTGGAGGCAAAAATCATGTGGGATCTGTGCCCACAGCCCCACTCTGAGGGTGATGACAGCAGTAGGCAGGGGTGAGCAGGACCAGCCCCATGTTGTGGTCCCTGGCAGATCAGGAAGGTGCTGCTGGAGACACAGACAGAGCAGACAGCAGCAGGGGAGGTACAGATGAGTCACGGACCTGCGGCAGGGGGAGCCAAGGCTCTGCATGGCTGCTGCAGTGACAAGATACCAAAAAAAAGCCCTGTCACAACGGGTGCAGTGTGTAGCTGCCCACCTACAGCGTGTGGAGCTGTACAAAGCGTGGCTCCGTGCTGGCTCCCCGTGGAGATGTCGCTGTGCCACCCCAGCGTGCCGCTGGCACAGCCCACAGTGTGCGGGCAGCGGGCAGGGGTGGCTCCTGGAAACTGGAGGGAACTGTGCCATGGCCACAGGCAGGAGTCTGAGGAGAGGAATTCCTGACAGGTCTGTAGGAATCAGTGAGCAGAGCTGTGCCCAAAGCTCTCAGCCAAGCCCAGGCACCTGGCCAGAGGTGGAGCATGGATGGCACAGGCTCTGGGCAGTGAGGGTGGTCACCTGGAGGTGTCATAGTGAGGAGGAGGTGATGCCGTGGGGAGCAGTGCCCGGTGGGCTTAGCCCCATGGCCTGTTATCCCTTGCTGCAGCCAAGGGCAGCTCAGGCTCCTGGCACAGGGAGCTGGCAGCAGGCTTGGCAGCATCCTGGCAGGTTCTCCTGCCAAGTGCCACACGGAAACAGGCACGATCCTGGGTAATGCTCCAGGGGGTTGTTAGTGGTTCAGCAACAGCTTTCCTGTGGTCTGGAGAGCTGCCGGACACCATCAGTGCCCAAGTCTTTGCTGATCCCTCTTTGCTTCCCAGGCAGTGTGAGAACACAGGGATCTGTGCTGGGGGGTCAGTGTGGGGGGTCAGTGTGGGGGGCTGTGTGGGCTCTGTCCCCTGGTGATGTGTCAGGATTGTGCTGCCATCCTGCAGGTATGACGCAGGGAAAGATGGCTTCATTGACCTGATGGAGCTGAAGCTGATGATGGAGAAGCTGGGGGCTCCACAGACTCACCTGGGACTGAAGAACATGATCAAGGAGGTGGATGAGGACCTGGACAGCAAGCTCAGCTTTCGAGAGGTGAGGGGATAGGAGGCTCCATGCTTGCAGGGAGATGTCCCCAGCCACTGTTCAGGCTGGTGAGAAGGTGGGCAGTGGCTGTGGTGGCTTTGGGGTGTTCAGGGAGCCAATGCTACCGTCTCCCCTCACAGTTCCTGCTGATTTTCCGGAAGGCAGCAGCGGGTGAGCTGCAGGAGGACAGTGGGCTGCACGCCCTGGCCCGGCTCTCCGAGATCGATGTCTCCACAGAGGGGGTGAAAGGCGCCAAGAACTTCTTTGAGGCCAAGGTGAGGCAAGGCTCAGGAGGTGCCACAGCAGGATGGTGATGCACCAGGGCAGTTCGGTGCTGGGCAAGCAGGAGGTGGAGATGTTGGGGTGAGCAGGAGAGCTTGGCAGAGGTCACAGCTGGACATTTCCATCCACAGGCACAAGCCATCAACGAAGCCAGCAGGTTCGAGGAGGAGATCAAGGCAGAGCAGGAGGAGAAGAAGAAGCAGGCAGAGGAGCTGAAGCAGAGGAAAGCAGCCTTCAAGGAGCTGCAGTCCAACTTCACGCAGTGACAGGGCCAGGCAGGACTGGTCAGCCCAGAGTGGTGCCCAGAGTGGCAGCGCTGCCTGTGCCACGTGCCAGCCGTGCCAGGAGCAGTGCCCAAGCTGTGTGCCACCTGGGCTGCTGGCAGGATCCTGGCACGGGCTCAGCACAGCACCCACCTTGCTGGCAGAGCCCAGTCAGCCCCAGCTCCCCCTCCCCTCTTGCTGTGGTGTCTGTAGGTGTTGTTCGTGCCCCTCACCTCCCCAGCGTGCCCCCCACCCTGTTCTCTACCCGCAGCTGCACTGGGGGTTGCTGCTGCTGAGTCCCAGAGGAGCTGTGTCCAGAATGTCTGTCCCTGGGACACCCGTGCCCAGACTGTTGTGTGTTGTGAGTGCACTGGGAGGTTTGCAGGATGGGGGCTTGCACAGGTGGCCATGGTGGGTGTTGTGGTGGCCATGCTGGCTGGGTGTCTGTCGGTATTGCTATGTATGACACCAGTGACAAAAGCCATGGCAAGGGCCAGCTGCTGGTAGAGGGGCTTTGTGTGTGTGTCTGTGTGGTGCTGGGGATGGGTGCCCACCCCGCTGGCATGGAGCCCCCTAGGAGCTGTGTCTCCCTTTATTTTGGTCAAAGACATACAGAAAGGCAGCTGCAGGCTCATGGGGCTGTATTATGTTTTTTCATGTTGTGCTCAGCCTGGCAGGATGAGCGTGGTGGCCACAAATGCTTGCCATTGGTCACTGAGGCTCTCGTCTTTGTGGGTGGCTGTAAAAACCCACATCTGTTCCAGTGTCCCCCGAGTGGCGGCATAGGGGGTGTGTTATGTTTTTTTTTAATTTAATCCCAAATAAATATTATATTTCTTAAGTGCTGGTTGCTGGGGTGCAGCTGTGGGATGGGCATGTCTGTGGCGGGGGGAATGAATTTGGGGAGTGGGTTCTGACCGTGGGCACACGATTCCCACCGGAGATGGTGGCACTGGACAGGGATGAGCCATGGCCCATGGGCATGGGAAGCAGCAGGGGCCTGATCCAGGTGTGGGCGTGTGGGGCTACCAAAAGCCATGGGCAGCACTGCTGACACTTGCACCTGTCCCACCATGTGGCACCTTTGGGGTTTTGGCTGGCCTTGACCATATCAAGAGTGAGATAAGGGGACCTTGTGCCCGGGGGGTGGTGGTGAGAGGGGGGCAGTGTCCTGGGG